CATTCAGTTCCGCCTAATGAGCAGTCTTAGTCACCTTACTTTACAGTGGCTACGTTATGTAGAGTTTACAGTTTAACCATGCTACCAAACTGGAATACTAGTCAATACAAGACACACTGGACAATGATGGATTGGCCTCCATGGTAACGTTAGCTCGACTGGACAAACAGTGAAAACTACACCTGACCTCTCCTAGCAGAGTGACCTTTCACTCACATTCAGAATAAATACCATTTGAATAATGAAATGTAGGTAATTCTGAAAAACCCTGAGTGCTCAAATTTCTTATTAGGTTAAAACAAGATTTCTGCCAACATTCTGCTGAATCTGACCTGGCTATGAAAAAGAATGCATTTCTGGGCGGCGTGTGGATAGGTCAGTAGAGAATGAAGCACATTCATCTCTTCACCCCACGGTCCCAGCAGCCTCCGTATCTGTCTCACACTCTCTGCTCACTCTGCACAATGAAGTATGAATCTTGTGGTTGCAGTCATCAGGCATTGCTCTTATGTTTCTTTAGCATAAACAAGGCCAAACACGACAGCTCTTTAATCCAGGCTCCCAGCTTTGTTGTCTGTGCGCTAGGGTTATTATGTTACCAAATCTTGGCCACAGTGAAGAAGTTATCAAGCATCATAGTACCCATTAGTGCAACAAGGTGATTAGTAACAATACTTAGCTTAATGATGTTTGTAGTAACCACAAAAGCTTGACTGACTTATTTATTGTTATTAGTACTGTCAAAGCCTAGTTTAAAAAAGTCCTGGCATCAGAAGTATCGTGAAGCACTTCTGTGGTAAGAATAATACTAGACTTTTTGTGTTGGGCAGTATTTAGTGTTACCATATGATTAATTGAACCATTATTTATAGGAGGATGGGAAAGCACAGAATAGAAAGGGTGACAGCTGGAGGGCAGACCAAATTCTGCCCCTCACCCCACCCCACCCCACATACACACACGTCATTTTCTGCATTTAGGGGACAGAATGAGTCACGCAAAGTGAGATCTGGAGCTATGACAGCACTTTGAGCTAGAAGGCTATCCAGACAGTTCAGCTTGTGAAACACCTCCTGACTTTTGACTTTCGAACAAATCAGGGTCAGCAAAGCATAAATAAGGCTGAACCCTTAGAAGTTACAGTGTTTGTGGGTTGATGATAATAAACAGTGTAATTTTATACAAATTATTTCTTACTTGTAGCTGTTTGAAACGCGCAGAGAAGTTGCTTCCACATTGGGGTTTGTAAGTAGAAGAGAAGATATTTTATTATAAGTGGAATTTGATGTTTTGCAGAAAGGAAATCCATCCTTTGTTTTTCCAAATTTTGTAATTTCTTGCCATCAAAACAAATGGACAAAAGTCAGAAGAGCAGACTTGAACCTATCGATACACAATGCAGATGGAGTATGGAAATAACTCCATTTGCATTGTAATGGTGTAGCTAGATGTGCAATTATGTTACTGTGGAATTACTTTTAAATAAATTAAAATGACCATAATAACTTCAGATTTCCAAGGTTTGTAGACTATTACAATATTATTAATGTTTTGCAAAAATGTATAAAATTATAAATCTGGTGAGCTTAATCTTCACCAAATAAAAGAAAATGATAATAGCAGAGTTTGGTAAAATGGTATATGTTGCCAGTTTTGGGGCTAAATTAATCTAGTATGAAATAAGTGTCACACAAACTCTATTGTCTGATGCAGTTTTGTCTGGAACCATGGTGTGTTTGGTCGCTTTGCCTGATGCCGTTTGTCCAAGGACATTTTGCCCGATGTCCAACTGTGGGAAAGCTGAGGCAAGGCTGTTTTTCCTTAGACCTGAAGCTGTTTTGTCTCTTGTCTGAAACCTGACGCTGTGGTCTGAAGATGTCCTAAAATGTAAACTGTAGCGTAGGCGGCTTTTTCCACCTTCATGATATCTGCCTGCTGCAACGGCACCCAGTGTTAAAAAGTCCAGCTATGTTTATGTGTGAGAATAGAATGAATGAACAGTGAATGAACATTGTTTCTCCATCAACTTTGGGCCGTCGTCTCTGTAACAATCCAATCCACCATCCACAATGATTGCATTCTGATTCAGTTTTAACTCCAGACTCGGGCTGTATAACTTAGAGAGATGAGCTTGGATCTCTCTGACGTAAGTGGCAGGCTAACGCACACAGACGCAGTAAAACCTTGCACACCTCAGTGTTTTGACAAGGCCCAGCTTGTCAGTTCCTGCCTGAATCTTTCATATTCAGCTGTAGTCTGTATATCAGACTGAAACTAATGTCATGTATCATGCTATCTAGGAGTGGATTCCATCATTCATTCCTGGAGTCTGGAGTCTTCCATTTCTGTCCTCTCTTCATAAACTGAGACTCATTAGACAGCTGAACATCCTCAAAGACGCTTTAGCTTGTTTCAGGTCTCCCTCTCTCCTGTTTAATTGGCTCTGTGGATCCCCTTTGAAAAAAAGAGTAATGATCATAATTTGAGTACATGCATGATGCAAGCACATCACAGAGACGTCTTTGGTAATGTACCTCAGGCCAAAAAAGGGTTCGCACCCCACCCCATACTTGCACACCCAGAAACGGGCATACACATACACAGAGCTCGCACTAAATCAGCCGTGGCGAAATCACTTATTGTGACTTTTAACACTTACGGATTATTCAGTAGAAACTTTCCAGGTGTAACTGCTTCTACTCCGATGGATGCCCGGCCCTGTCCTCGCAGATAATTACCACAAAACCAAGCAATTATTAATGGTGTGGTAGTTATGTGATGTTTTTAATGCAACAAAAAAGTTTCACATGGTCAAAATGATGCACGATCCACAATTATCCATTCCTCACATGAATACAGTGTAATAGGAACGAGGAGTAAATTGTGCTGTAATGAGTTAAAATTGAAACCCTCATCACTTTTCCACGCATCTGTGAAGAGTATGAAAGGTGCAAAAAGGTGCCCATAACGGTCCTAAAAATTTCTTTGGAGCGCTATGATAATTGATGCTATAGATGAACCACTTTTGGTTCCCTACAGAACCTTTCAGTGGTCTTGGAATGGATTTTATGATGGCACAAAAATATATAAAAAAAAGTATATATGTATCTGGTATAATGGGATCTGCCCCCAGCAGTTTACCTCCATCATTTTACACTGAAGTTATAGCAGTGTTTCTTTAAGGAGTGGACCGGACTGCTTTTTGAATGAGTCAACAATACAGGGAAACCTATTCTCAAAGAAACTGCAGTTTGTTTCCTTAAACATCTGACTCTTTGATCCACAGGGTCCTTGCTTATTTGATCATGCTCTAAAACTCAAATCTACAACTTAAGATCAGCTCCCTGTACCTCATCTTATCATGCTCTGACGGAGTCTCTCTCTCCAAAATCCTCTTAGTGCTGCCCTGCGTATGGTAGCAGATGGAACGAGAGTGTTCCAGTTTTAGCCTGACTCTGGCTCTCGTCGCCATTGATCTCAATGAAACCTCGGGATATCACTCAGTAACTGTCAGTCTTGACGTGCACTCTCTCTTTCTCTCTGGTGATGGGTTGATGTGGTCCATAAGTGAAGTCAATAAGTTGATGGTGACATCGTCTGAACTTTTGAGAAGAATGACAGTAGGGTCTTTTGTTTTATTATGACCGCTCCCCTTATGGAGATGTTTTTTAACGATGTCAGCGTTAACAGTGTTTATATAAAGCTGTAGTGATGGGTAGCTTCCACAAAATGATTCCAGACACCTGGGTCCACAGCAGTTTCACAGTAGAGCTGATTGGAGCTGAATCCGATTGGTTTGGGCTCTATGCCAGAACGTCATTCTGCTGGTATTCCTCTTCAAGCAGCAGAGCTCTTAACAAAAATGTTAGACGGGGTGAGACAAAGGTGGCTGTGTTGTGGGAAATGGATATGGGACAAGTAGGGCTGAAGTATTGACGTGCCCAACCTCGTGGTGTTGCAGTCACCAACAAAACCACATACTTCCGTTTTTATTTTGGGGTTTTTGGAAAAACTTTTTAAAATGTTCAAACTTAAAGGAAAAAGGAGAGCATGAGACTTGTGGAATATAACCTAAAAAACAGGGCTACTACACTAAGCTGACTTCAGCCCATTAGGGCCAATGTCAGGTACGAACATGCTGTAGCCTATCCCAGTGTTCATTGAGCAGAAGGCAGGAAATACCCTAATCTGATCAATGTGTTTACATGCACTTTAGTAATCAGATAATTGGAAATCTCTGAGTCTACATGAGTCAGGCAGTAATCAGATTTCAGCTTTACAACCTGCCAATAAACTCACGGAAGAAGATGTGACCTAACGTAAATCTCATTGTGCCACTTTACCTGAAAATATGAACATACATCATCGAGAAGATGAAGAATATTTAAATGCTTCATTTCGTAAAGCATATATTTGGTTTCAACGTCGCTCCAAAAGTGCTTTGCCGCCATTTCTCGGCAATACTGCTTGCTTGTTTCCGGCACCGCCATCTGTTCCACACATGCGCAGACTGAGAAATCCGAAAGAAATCAGAGTAAGAGTTTACATGCACTGAGAAATCTGATTACTGAGCTAAAATCCAGCTCTCTTAATCAGATTTCTTAATCAGATTTCAAGACCTTACTCTGATCTCAGAAATCGGAGTATGCTGTTTACGTCACCATTTAAATAATCAGATAACTGCAGAAATCTGATTATGATCGGGTTATTACATTATTTACATGCACTCAGTGACTCACCCTGACCATCAGCAGCAGACCAGCCCCCTACTACATTAAGTCCTTTCGACTAGCTTAAATATCATTTTTTGACCAGTCATAGTTTTAATTATGCATTCAGTAACACACAAATGCAATGCATTTTGTTTGCATTTAAAAGCTCTCTTCCGTTTTTATCGTGAGCGGTTTTGTTGATTTTGTGTTTTTTGTTTGCTGGGAAACGAAGGCAAGTCGTGGGCTAATAAAAGCAAATGAAACTGAAGTCCTTCTCTCTCTTTTCAGATTGATGCTTGATGGCTGGGAGCCCCCAGGCTCGCATCCAAGATTGACACTCGACAGCGCACGGTCTCCGCCAATCTCCTCAGTGAGCTTCGTCTCCTGCCAGATAAGACCGCCCACAAGCTCCCACTACGTCTGCCCATTCCTAAGCCCAGCAACCTCCAAAACGCCCTCAGCCAATCGCTGGGGCAGGAAAGCATCGCCATGGACACTGAGTCCACCTACTCCGGCTATTCATACCACTCTGGCCGGTCGAGGGGGTCCCACAGGCATGGGTAAGATCCCAGTTCTCTTTTACACTTCAAAATACTGTGGCGATGAGACTAAATTGACACTTTTCCCATGTAACCCAAATGTAGTCAGCAAAGACGTGTTTGGTGAACGAAGTTTGTTTGTGTGGTTTCTAACACTGTGTGACATACTGTTATTTATAAAACAAAAAAAACATAGATAAAATTCTCACTTCATTATGTTTTTGCTATGACAAAAATAGGTTCTTGCTTTCCATTGAGACTGAAGCTCTGTCAGTGTCTTGTTTCCCCTTCTCTCTTCCTCTCGTGCTCTTTCTCCTTTCATTGTTTGGGTTATTTGTCTGTCAGTAGGGGAACTGCTCTGACTGACAGGTTCAGGAAGGCAGTTGGAGACAGGTGCTGAAGTGCCCTGGGTAGTGATCTCTCTCTCTCTCTCTCTCTCTCTCTCTCTCTCTCTCTTTCTCTCCCTCTTTCTCTCCCTCTCTGTCTCTCTCTCTGTCTCTCTTTCTGTCTCTCTCTCTGTCTCTCTCTCGCTCTCTCTCTCTCTGTCTCTCTCTCTCTCTCTCAGGGCTGTAGAATATTTTTTGTTAAGTGTAACTGTGGTATTGGCCTTTACAATACTGGTATAGCAGAAGGCTCTAATATGCAAATGAACCCTCTAACCAGTTTTTTACTGAATGTTGTGAGCCTCTTGACCAAATCTCTGATGGTCCACATGAGCTTCGATGGACTTCTTGTTCTTTTTTTTATTAATGCTATCAATTAGTTGCAAACAAGCAAACAAGACCTTAATGCCAAACAGAGCAACGAATAAAGGGCTTTATGTGATCCAATAAACAACACTTTTGGTCAGAAAAATACAGGCCTTAATCATCAACCCTGTAACACAATACTTCTCTAATGTGTTTTAATATGTCCAAATAGTAACTTTACACGAGAAGGCAAAAACATTGTTAACTTTAAATGTTAGTTAATGTAATGAGATTTTTTTGTGAAGTAATTTTGGAACATTTCTATTGGTCCATTCATCACGACATTTTGACACAATGAGAAACACTGTTGAGCTCAAGCGCTGTACAAAAATTCAAATTGAAAAGAGAATTTTTTTGTGGGGGTGGGGGGGTGCAGACATAATGCATTGTGCAAGCCTTACCCCTGTTGTTAACCCAACGTTTCCCTTTATTTATGTATGTATGTAGTGGGGCGCTGCTTATAATTAGTGAGGTGTATTCTGAGAAGATTGTGATGTTGAAATCACTAGTCACCACTAGTTTGGGAATGAGTGATCACTTTGAGCCAGCTCTCTGGGAGCTAATTCACATTGAAGAGACATTTTATAAAAATTTGTTTTTTTATTTATTATTATTATTTATTTTTATTTTTTTGTGAATTCAGAAAAAACAAATGAGTCTTATGATGCTAAAAATCTGCCGGATCTCCTCCTGCTTGTTGTCTGAGTTTGTCTCTGGTTTTGGCTGCGTGTCCTAAGCCCTATTTGGATGGGATTAGTTTTCCTTGGGGAGGTTGGGTAATGCCAGTTTAGCACAGGACGTCTGTAATGTTCATGACTGTTTCGCAAGGGACAAGAAAGCTCAGGATAAATGACACATGGGAGTGGCTTCTGAATTACATACCACATTCACTCCAGAAAGGAGTAAAAAACATGTTGTAAAAAACATTAAGAACAATGTCATCTTAACCATCTTAACCCGAAAACTTGACAAGACCAAATGATGCAGAGACCAAACAAGACTGAGCCCATTAACTTACAGTCTCAAGACTGGACACGAGTACTACAGCCATACTGAAATGCCTATCACTAGTCACCACAGCCCCTCTCTCTCTCTCTCTCTCTCTCTCTCTCTCATTCAGAACTCTCTTACTGAACCAGACATGCTAAAGCTTCTGGCAGCTGCACTCCTTCAGTTCTCATCTATTTCTCTCTCTCTCTCCCTCTCCATACCTCATTCCCCTTCAACACTTGCACTCGAGCTGTTGAATGTATTTGAAGTTTAGAGGACAGAGTCTTTTGCTGTAGCTCTCTGTTCACTTCCCCTCAGAGACCCCTCAGTCTCAGATGTATTTCATGATATAGAGCAGAAGATCAAAAGCAATGGGAAATATCAAGGAAGCCTCCCTAGACTCTGAGAATTCACTCTTAACTCTACGCTGACCTGTCACTCATGTCGACATAGAAGGAACATACACTTCGTACCGGAGACTAAAGGAATTTAAGAGGCTTTAAATCTACCTTTTCTCACAAGCCTGCCATGAGTATAATAGGCTCCTTTGGGGCTCGTTCCTAAGTGACTGCCACTACAGGAACGTTCACACACAAGCGCTTTCTCTCTATCTCTCTCTCTCTCTCTCTCTCTCTCTCTCTAACTCTTTTCATGACACTTTCCAATGCTGAAGTCATGAGTCACAGTTCTGTGCTACTGTCTGAGTCGAATATAAAGCGGCCTGCGTTTGAAACCTGAAACTGGTTATCCTGGTTTTACCTTATTATGCCAGGTGATCATAAACAACCACAAGCAAGTGAAAAAAAATTATTAGTGCTTGCACCACATGTTAACCCTTAGATGTCAGTTATTCTCTGTGATAACAAGAGCTTGGTGTAATTTTATATGGGTTATTTCTCTTTGGATTAAGTGAGGAATTCTTTCAGAAGTACGGATTTTATACTTTTAATTTTTGTTTGTAAGTAGAAGAGATTCTGTTTTGATTTTATGAAAAGTTATTGTATTTAGTGTTTTGCCATGTTTTTGAAATAAAAAACTCACTAGTGCCGACTCAAACTTGTTACTACAGAAAGTAAATCGATTATAAATGTAATTCATTGTTTAACTCATTGTACACTGTAGGAATAAAGCTATTGCACAGGTATATTTTTGTCCCCATAGGTACAAACAATGTAAACATACAGTAATGTCTTTAGGTTCCAACTATGTAACATAAATGAGTGTTGAAAGTACACGGCATTCACCTTCTCAGGAGAAAGGGGCGTGCTTGTATCTTTTCATAGCTTACCTTTTTTAAACAGAAAAATGAAAAGAATCAAGGGGGGGATGTATGAAGTCAATGCAACTTTATAATAACGTATATCACACTGAAACTCTATTATAGACTAGAGTATATATCGATCTTATATTGTATAATTGGCTTTTGAATAGTATAGCAAACTAACTTGTCTGAAAGTTAAACATATGAATGATATTTGGAAACTAATCTTAATTGATTAATTGTTTATATATCGAAATCACAGTTTGAAAGAGTGCAATTTTCAAATCGCAAGAGCTGCAATTTTATCACAGTCACAAAAATTCCACAGTAGTTTTCCATTCAGCCCTGTGTCGGACACTCTATTTGAGAGTTACTAATAAAGGCAAAGTGAAAGGGTGACTTCTTCAAATGACTACAGAAGACCTATCAGCCATTTTTTTGTATGATGAGCATTTGTCATAAATGAAACATTTAGGGACTCCAGAGTAGAGCCACAGTCTTAAGCGTTGGAATTATTGTTGAGAGATTGTGAGTTCAGACTCCGGTGATGCTCTCCATGGCCGGGAGTCCATAAGAGCATAATTGGCCTTGCTTTCTTTGTTACATATGTTAAAAATATTGGATATATGCTGGACTTCACCTTCCCAGCTTGGTAGCATTATGTGTGATAGAGGGAGACCTAGTGAGCAGGTGGATTTGGCCATGACTAAATATGAGGAAAAATAGGGGGGAAAAAATGTATAAAACGAAACATTTGTGGTAACGTCTATGCTATTAGGTCAAATAACCTCACACTTTCCGAGCTAAAAGGCACTGATATGAAACACACAGACTGATGGGTAGCCCTGCAAATGCACATTTAAGTGAAACATACTTGACTGGTTCACATTATTTACTGCAAAAAAAACACAGAAGAATGTGCAATCGAGTGTACACAATTGTAAAGGGTTTAACTTCCAAATGTACAGTTTAACTGTAAGTTTTCAAAAATAAAGTTGCATAAAATCCTGCAAAACTGCACAGAAATGTCCAGTTTTAATTTTGTTATCTAGTTGATTTTTTTTTCATGTCCCTCATCATTTTAGTGCCCAATTTCATGAGATGAATTTGATGATAACAGATGTTTCAGTTTTGCTCAGTCTTTCAGTTTCATGCCTTTTCTGTGCTTTAAATCGTGCTCCATTTTTGGCGTGCAAAATGCTTTCATTGTGGTAGAAGTCTAATGAATTGCTGCATTATACACATTACATTCAGTGCATAGCAATGGATATTGCAAGCAGTGTATGTGACGCCACTGATATGTGGCTAACATTGTCTGATCTGTACCAACAACCAGCCATTGTTTTCAGCAGCGCTATCATGCCTGATGGAAGAGTCTGCTTAGGGGGCTTCAGGCATATATTGGAGTACACTTTGCATTGAGATTATCACCAAGTCAGTTTTAATTGATTATTATCACTATAAATTAAATTTTAAGATGGAAATTTGTCATCATTTAGTTGTCCAATGGACGTGCTGTGGTGTGCTGATTTATATTTTAGGAAAGAAGAGACTAACATTGGAGTTTAAGGCGGTTCCTTATTTATTTATTTATTCATTTATTTATTTCCTTTATAACAACAACAATTACAATGTAAGTCTGGGGTGTACAAATGAACAGCGAACACCAACTGTCATTTGCCTTTGTACAGTTGTTTACATATTTGTGTGGGTAAAACACAATACACAAAACCTTGGATAGCTGCAGAGTAGACAAGGACAGCATTGGCAGCCCAGTGTACATGTGTGTTGATATCAGTGGCTGGGACACATCGCCAAGACTGCTTAAGACATTACACCACATAAGAGAGAGATATTGCAAGACATGAATAAATGTGCACACTTACCTTTCCATGGTGATTCCATGGAAATCACCCTGAGGGGGAGCAAAGCCAGAGTAAAACCTCTAGAGAGAAAAGAGAGTTAAAGCTATAGCTGAATGTGAATGTACTTACCGGTATAGAAATGAGAAATGGCCATGT